AATTCTATATTTCTTTACTTGCAACTTTAATTTTAAAAAATTAGTGTAATGGATTCAAATCGAGAGATTTAAAAGGCATTTTAATCATTTCAGTACAAGTATAAGAGCATTCATAGGCTCACATTCAAAACTGCATGTATAAGATCGTGGTCATCGTAATATTTATTTCTGATACGCAATTTTTTTGGCTAATATTTTTTAAGTTCTTATTTCAGACGATCATGTCCAACTCAGTGTACAATAAAATCCCCAAACACTGGTAATTCGACCCGAATTCAAGGGCTAGAGAGCTCAGAAGCGAGTTTTTGTGAGTGGTGAATTTACATAATGTAAATACGAGATAATTTTCCTTAGAAAGACGTTCACGAAGGCATCCCTTCCCTTAGATCAGGGGTCCTCAACCAGTAGTACGCGTACCACTGGTGGTACGCAAGAGAAAAATAGGTGGTACTCAAACAAGCAAAGTGTTTTTAACTATTAAATTAAAAAATTAAAACCCATCCTGATTGAGGTTTTTTTCTAACACTCGTGAATTTATGCGATCTTAGCTTTGTTCAAGAGTGGTGGTGGTAGTAGTACTTTGTAGTGGTGGTACTAACGGTTTTCAATTTTGGTTTAGATCAGGGTTTCTTAAACTGTAGATCGCGATCAAGGGATTGCTAAAAAATTTAGCAATTTTGATATTTATTTAACTTATTATAATAATTTTACAATTACCAAATATTTTTACACAATGTATATGAAAATAGATAAAGATAAGACAATACAGACAAAGAAAAGAACGAATACGTTTCGACGCATTCTTTTTACTCGTAATATAAACGTTCATTTTCCTTGCTTTGCACGTGACGCTGTCATTCCGTCCGTTACTTATTTAAAATTTTCACATTGTTCTATGTCTTAAAATTAGAAATTAAAGTTAACGATCTAAAACTGCAATAGTATATTACAGTACAAGTAAAACAAATGACAGTTTCACTCACGCGTGTTTCGGATTTGCGCAACACTTACGGGATCCCACAAAATTTTTGTAAATGTTATGGGGTCCTGGGGGTCGCCGAAAAATGTCAGTGATAAAAACGGGTCGTGACTGAAAGAAGTTTAAGAAACCCTGGTTTAGATGGTGCTCGTTAGTCAAAAGGTTGAGAACCGCTAGACAGGTGGCTCACCAGTGACTACCTCAAGTGAATGCTTTGGCACAAACTGAACAGTTCAGTAGAATTATATTTCAGGCTATTACTTATTTAGCAGTGCCAAGCTCTGTATAATTAGCTTCCTTTTTTCTTTGCGAGACCAATGGAACCGAAACATTACATTGATCTTTCACTTACTCATGTAATGTAACTGCACTTTGAAAAATGTTTAGTAATCCTTGATTTTGCGAATAACAATCTGAATAGTTTTGTTTTTCTTACAAAAATTTTGTTCGAATGAAACGACCATCGTATTCGGCTCATCCATACTGCATTATTGTTGTTTTTAGTCCCTGTGATCTAATAGGATCTCTCGATCAAGCCTATGTATTCAAAATGGCCAAGAGGTAGTGTGTGCCTGTCGTTGGGTATGCTACAGGTGGCTGTAACATACGATTTTGCACAGCTCCATCCCAGTCTTGAAAGAGATCCCAGGGTATGGATCCGAAGGTAGCCTACCTAACTATAAGAACAATTACAACAATCGTCACCATTTTCACAAATTTCACCTGCTCAAACTCCAGAAACATCATTTGTGTCCGAAACTATTCTGCAAAAAGACCAGCAGGAAAAACCAAGCAATTCCGTTTGTGAAGATGAAACAAAAGGAGAAAATATAATAAATTTAAAATCATCTCAAAGTAATGATGGAACTAAGAGTTTTGTAAATGATATTGCATTATGGCCAGAATACTTTGCATACGCCGTGCGAGAGCATTATATAAAAAATCCACCAAAATCAATAAATCATCTTCTATTCGATGCAACGAAGGGTCAAAACAAATCACAAGAAAATTAACTATTGCCTCCTTCTTCAGAACAATTAATAGCGGGGAAAAAGTTAAAAGAGATGGATTGGTTTATACAGAAACCAACAACTTATTGTACTGGTACGTCTGTAAATTATTTTCCAAGGAAACAACGCTAATGACAAAAGGGACGAATGGTTGGAAAAATCTCCATAAAAAATTGTCAGAGCATGAAAACTCCAGTGACCACATTAATTTCATTTTAATTTTTATAACAAGATCTAAAATTACCGGACGCATTGACACTGAACTGGACAACAATTATAAATGAAAAAAAAAAAAAAAAAAATTGGGGGGGGGAAGTACTTAAACGTGTGGTAGCGGCAATCACATTTTTCTTCTACTCTTTAGCGTTTTCGTGGTAAAAATGAAGTTTTTTTAGTGCAAATATGGTAATTATCTAGGACCTTTGGAATATTTATCCGAGTTCGATCCATTTTTGCGGGAACACATGAAAAAATATGCAAACTGCGGCACCGGTACTTTAAACTATTTGTCGTCTACAATATGTGATGAATTTATTTCTATTATATCGAAAGAATAATACAAATATTCTTTCGATATAATAGCCTTGCGAGCAACTTCTCAAGAAGACTTTTGGTTCGGCACTATTCTAAGTACTTCCATGCCATAATGGCATTGTACATTTATAAACATCCGCACTTTTGCGGTATTCAAACCCAGGCCGAAGTCTTTGATAATCGATTCTCCTACCAGCACGGCAAAAGAATGGTAATGTGTACTTTTTTCATAGAGTATGGAGAAATTTATATAACAAATCTTTCATGTGGTCTGATGTCTGCTAGGCGTTCAAACTGACCCTATTTATTTGACAATAACAAATCTTTCATTTTACTCCACTGTGTAATTTACCCAATGACTCCACTGTGGCACCCGAACTGAAAAGGTGCTGGATGATGATTCTTCACCACCAGGATTTGGGGGAGTATATAAATTTATGATACCGCCCTCTTTTTTACTTTCTCACTCCTTTCTGCATGCCTTCGTGTTGCAACGGTGCACACTCGGCGCGAATTCGAGAGGTCCAGGTTACAGTTCTAGCGAGGGAATTGCTCATTTCACGCCTTCTTCCTCAAAATAACCTAAAATGGTAGTGGATGATGATTCTTCACCGGCAGATTTGGCGATCCCAGTCGGTTTTTAAAAAGGTAAGGGATTTTTCTCCCTCCTTTCTGCATGCCTTCATGGTGTAATGGCCAGCACACTCGGCGCGTATACGAGATGTCCAGGTTCGATTCCCGGCGAGGGCATTGCTCATTTCTCACCTCTACTGTTTCAAATTCACCTAATGACTTTATAAAGATACTACTATTTTATGAAGAATGGTACAAATTGGATTTTCAAAATAAATTTTAAAACATAAATCAAACTGTATTCGAGCTATTGCCGTACTGTCAAAGCAAAAAGAATACAGCAAATTAATTTAAGATGTATTTCTTCGGTAAACAGTCAATAAATAAAAGAACATTGTTCAAATTTTTGAGGACTTCTTTGCATTGCTGGTTAATTTTTAATTTCTTAGACATTGTTTAGCAATAATTTTAATCAAAGTCATGAATAGATGTGTAAAGAAAGAATAAAGACATTATTTATAAAAGACGCAATGGAAAAAAAATATTATAATTCAACTTCTTACATACTGACTGTTATTACAACAGAATCTAATGCATCCAAAGACACTGAATGTTGTAGCATTCCTGATAGAACTTAAAGAAAGCCTTGCTTCTGATCAGCGATCCCACCATATGCAGCAGTTTTATTCTAAAACAATGCTAAATTTAATTTTTATAAAACCAAAAATGCGTATTATCCGAAAATTTCGTTAAAAATATTTACACTGTGGTTACATTTAAAGAAATGAAATAATATTCAATAATATTTGAATTTCTTCAGCAATTTTCATTATACATTATTAATTTATCAACCCCCCATTTTTTAAAATGGATTTTCATCGAAATTTTTTTGATTGACCATTTTTTTATATATGTTATTTCCCTATATTTTTTTTATCGGTTTTTCTGCATAATTATATCTATAGACGGATCATTCTTTTTTTTACACTACAAACTGTCCCGAAGAAAAATTATGTTTACGAAACCCCTTACGCTTCTTTTTGTCTAATTTCAACGAATTGCACATTTAATGGTTTGCAGTTATGAGAAATTACTATACCAGCCATTCAAATCATCTAAATAAAGCTCATTAAGGAGCGGAATGCATGAGTGGCAGACGGGGGGGGGGTTCCAAAAAAATAAATTTTCCCCGATGCTTATATTACACCACTGCGCGCAAGAGACACTTTTTGCGAAAAAGTGCCTTTATAATGGTACTAGTTCTTAAATATAAATAAATAAAAGCTAATCAAATAGGATATAAAAAGTAATGAAAAAATAAAAGCAAATCAAATAACAATTAAAAGTGATGAAAAAATAAAAACCTAATTAAGTAGAAGATAAAGAATGATCGAAAAATTATACATCTTTTATACCTTTAATTTCATACCGCAGAAGAATCTATATTATTACCTAACCTAGTTTTTCTATTAAGTTTTCGATTTGTAACTTCAGAAGAAATTCCGACGTACTCTTTCATATACAAACTAGAAAATAAAATTCTTTCCCTTGTTTTCGCAAATAAAATTCTATACATTTTCTTGAGTAGAGTCATCTATACAGCAGCTCGGTATTTCATTTACACACCAAATAACAACTGTGCAACTAAAAAATGCCGATACAAGTTCCTCATTCATTCCAATATATTTGTATTAACTTTCCAAAGAAGGTATTTTAGTGACAAAGATTCAGACGGAGTTCGATCTCATTGGTCATTTACTCTCATTTGCGGAGTCAACAATCGTAGTTTTTCGAGCTTCTGATTCGCTCTTTCCATATATGGTCGTGCATTCCAAATTTGGAGACCCCGTTTACCAAATATGGCAACGGCGCTCACTTCACGTGAGACATTGATGGCTCTTTAACACTATAAACATTAGCCGTAAAATAGGCGACAGCAGTCTGAATCGTTATGAGAACAAAATTCAGATGATCGAGGAAGTAGAAACATTTTCTAGACGCGACTTTTATTTTATGTGTTGTTATCTAGCAGAACTATCTTTTGTGCAGTTGTATCCCAGCGCGCTTCTGAATTCACATGCTCTCAGTTACAACGTAACGAGCGAGTGACGAAATACTCTATCGAATCCGCTATCCATGTGCGATTCTGAATCGAAAGGGTTGAATGGTTTTGACCAGTCCACGGCGGCATGCAAAGTTCATTTAGGGACAGGGGTCGAGATTTAGGTTATCATCATCCAAAATCGTCTGCGGAAGAAATACCTGAAGGCGAGCCGATGGTTTTGGGAATGAACAGTGAAAGTTATCAGGCCAACGGCCACGACAACGAGACATACGAACTGAACAGTAGAGAAGGACCGTCCGCCGTTGGTTTATCAAAAAAATCTTTGCCAGCAAATGGAAAGAAAACTAAAGGACGAGTCAAAATCAAGATGGAATTTATCGATAATAAATTACGCCGATATACGACTTTCAGCAAACGAAAAACTGGAATTATGAAAAAGGTCAGTCATTCAGTCAATCAAAAATATATTTATTCATTACTTTGTGGTTCATGTGTAATAATTTTAGATCATACATTTAAATTTAGTGTTGCCTGTAAATTATGCAAATAATTTCAAGGTGATCGGTAAAGGTGTTTCGTAGAAGAGCGACATATCTGTACCATGTGCTAATGCATCTGTTGTAACCGAAATGCCCTTTGACCGGTCTGGTTTCCTGTTAGTGTTATCGCATATTTTCAGCGGTAAAAGATTTCGAGAGAAAAAGAGAAAAGTAATTTCAGTTCAAGCTGTATATACCTTATTTTTGGGTAAAAATTCGTTAACAGTTCGAAGTATTCATGGAGTGTTATTGAACTAAAACATCTGTTCCATGTGTTATACATAAGTAATTTATGATGTATGAAATAAAATTTTCGGCCCATTTCCAAAGTTTGCTTACATATGCTGTCCCAGAAGAGAAGTTAAAAAAAAAAAAAAAAAAAAAAAAAATTCAAGATGAATTAATAGTTAAAGTTTAATTTGAGCAATGCATTGCATGAAACAACTATATTTCTACAATTTAAAATATTAAAAAATCAATTGAAAATCTTTAGATAAAAATTTAGCAAATCATTAAAAATAATTTGTTTTCCACTTCATGTCAAGACCGTTACCTTGAGATTATTTTTTTATCCCCATTTAGTTTGTAAATCTGCCTAAAGAACAGCTGTACATATATCAAAGTAGTCAAACTTAGCTTGACTAGTTTATCTATGTCACTGAATACGAACTGCCCCTTTTAGACAGATTTACAAACTAATTTTGGGGAAAATAATCTCAAGGTAACAGAGTTGACATGAAGTAGAAGGCAAATTATTTTTCTATTGATTTCTTAAAGAAAAAAACTTCTGTAATTAATTTTTATCATAAATATAACACACTCATAGTTAATATTTAAAATAATTAAACTTCTTTATTTAAAAAATAAATTAGATTACAAAGCATAGAGGTTGAATAACGGGAAACTTAAAAGGAACATGCATTTTCACCTACGATTACACAGTTTGATTTATATCTATAAACTTTCAATTGATTTTTTACATTTTGAATAATTATAGTCATCTTCATGCAATGCATTGCTCAAATTAAACTTTAAACCTAATTGATCTAGAATTTTCTTTTCTTTTGTGAGAGCATATGTAAGCTAAATTTGAAAATGGGCCTTGCAAATATCGTATTGAGAAAAAAAGTTTCAAAATAGTGGTAATGGTATTTTCCCAGCTTAATTAATCTCTCTTATAATCTTGAACAACTTTTCTCACTCATTCATTTTCCATGTAGTTGCTGATGCAAGAAACAGTTTATCAAATTACATAGTTTCAATTTGTGCAGTTCTAAAATACATATATTATGAGAGATTTATTGTTTTAAAAAATATTTCGATTTTACTTTTTTCTAAGCTTAATATGCATAATTGTAGATAATGATATTGATAAATTTTCACAATATTTATTTTTATATGTATAACTTATTTTGTAACATTTCACATTTGAAAAAGAATTGTGTATTGTATTTATTTTTAACATTCAAATTATTGACATTGACTAATTTTAGTTTCTTCAGAATTTAAAAGCAAATTATTTATATATTAGATATATCTAAGTTGAAATTTAGAATATAAATTCTTCTGCCTCATGTGTAGTTTGTGTACTTATTTCAATTATGCATTTGATTTCATGCTGATATAAGAAATATATCAATCTATAAGTTAAATATATTATATAATAAGCTAAATTAAGTAATATTTTTGGTAATAAACAACATTCCATACTTATCTCATTAAATATATTTTTTAAATTATATAATTGAACTTGAAGCTGGGAACTTAAAATCAGAATGTCACAGTTAAATATGTATATTTTTTTAGTTTAATTTCTATCACGAAACTTTAAAATTCACATGCATAATTTTCTAATTTCTAAAGCCATATATGAGTGTTATTCATTTTGTATTTAGGTATCCATATGAGTTGTTTTCCATAATATAAATAAGAAATTTATGATTGGATGCATGAGAAACTTAGCTTTACAAATATTTGTCATAATGTTGATAAATATCAACTCATTATTATTCTTTTTCCATATTGAAATATATGACTTATTTATTATGGTCTTGCTTTACTTTGTAACACTCTATAACTATAGATTTAGAAAAATAAAAAATGCAAAATCTTTGTGAAAGGATTATTAAAACAATTATTATGAAAATATCAGCATGTAGTTGGATTAATGAAATAATTATTTGTTTCCCTATCTGCTATTTTGTTGGAGAATATGATTGAAGCTTCCGAACTTGTAAAAGATTATCGATTTCAAATTAAATTTTATGTCAATTTTAAGTGCATACAGACAGTACAACTATGAAAGATTTTTGCTGTCTAAGATTTTGTTTGTAATGTAGGAAAAGTTTTAATAATCTTATCTTCAACTTTTAATGATCCAGGATATTTTAATATTTTAAATGTAATTTTATTCTTTATTATTAAGCTCTTTTTGTTTTATTGGGGATTATTGAGTCATGTTTGTGTTAAAATTGTTGAATACCTTTTTGCTGTAGTAGCAAATTAAATTTTTAAATTTTCTAACTTTTTCTGATTAAGCTAATCATGCATACACAGTATATTTTAGATTTTTTTGTTTGAATTTTATAGCAGTATATAAATAAAAAAAATCTGACCACTCATGTCTAAAAATTTAGCAAAGACAAATATTATCCATCCAGTGCATGAAAACTTTTGGAACAAAAGCAAAGATGCAATGATAATAGAACTACAGTCATTTCAGATATTTTCTTCTACTAATGTATGACTTTATGGAATGAAACTGCTGTTGAAGTCTGTGTTTTTAAACAAAATTTATTAAATTTTGTTTGTGATTATCTATTGTATGAATCTTAAAAATAAATAATTTTATTCTATTTGGAATGGCTTATATATTTTATTTTAGTACTTTAACAGAGTATATCCTTTTGCTTTAGTAAGAAATGTTCACAATAATAATTTTTGGTGTCTTTGCTGACTGGTAAAATAAGCATCCATATAAAATAAACAAATTAATAATTCAAAGCAAAATATGCCTTTATTTATGGACTGTGAAAAGAACTTAACTGGAGTCCTTCAAAAATCAGCACTACTGCCCATGCAATCTGTGCTTGGAGCTGGCCCTGTTTGTGTATTTTTTTGCTCAATAAATACTACACAAAAGAAGGAAAATTGTGATTTAAAATTTTTTATTGATTATCTACTGTATGAATCTTGAAAATAAAATTGTTTTATTCTATTTGGAATAGCATGTATATTCTATTTTAATACCTTAATATGATATTGTGCATGTAATGCATATCCTTTTGTTATAGTTTTTCATGTTGAAATTTTTGAATATTTTCTTTTTGACATGCTATATAATTTGAAAACCGAGTTGATACTGTTTAGATAAGTTGAATATCATATAATGATATTTATGCTTCTGTCTTTAAATTTGTCATCATTTATATTATTAATGAAGGATAGAATTGTTTTAAGTTGTTAATTTTAAGCATGGCTGTCAATGCTTTAATTAGTTTTTAAAGTAAATAGTATGCTTGGAATGCTTAACTATATTTTGTGTAAATTAGTATAATATTGAGCCATGGTAAATGAAGTTTCAGAGAGTAAATTTTACATTATATTGATTGTTCTGAATCATTGAAATTTGTATCAATGGTTTATCATTGAAAGCAAGAGCATGAAAATAGTTTGCTAGTTTTAAAAAGTATTCTTGATTATATTCTTCTATCAAATAAATGGAAAAGTTGACATGGAATAAACCAGTATTTGAATGTTTTGCACTGTAAATGAAGCTTGTTAATGTTTATCATTTAAATATTTAACCATGTTTTTTCTTTCTATTCACATTATTTAATTTCATAACATGATTTCTTTTTAAATTTCTGAGAGTCTTCTAAGCAGAAAGTAGGCAAATATACTTTTCATCATCAAGATCTCTCAAGTAAAATGACTGAATTTTAAACTATTGAAAAAATTAAGTAATATTGTGATGTTATTTTTCATAAAAAAAGGATATTCATTTTTCATAAGGTTAATTTTGTATTATAATTATGAAATAAATATCTGCATTGAATTTTCATTACAGGCCTATGAACTGTCAACACTAACTGGCACGCAGGTCATGCTGTTAGTGGCAAGTGAAACTGGTCATGTGTATACATTTGCTACACGTAAACTCCAGCCAATGATTACAAGTGAGGCTGGTAAAGCTCTAATTCAAACTTGTCTAAACTCTCCTGATCTTCCACCTGAGCCTGGTGCTTCAGGACTTGACCAAAGGATGAGTGCTACAGGCTTTGAGGAAACAGATCTCACTTACAGTGTTGCAGATGACTGTGAGAAGGTAATGATATGCTTTTATATTTTTCGATAATGGTACTTTTCATTGTATCTTTCACATTTCATGTCTGTCCAAATGTATTTTTAAATGGTTAATGTTTCCTTGTATTAATTAATTAAAAATCTCTAAACTTTACAAAAGTCAATGAGGTTTGTGGTTAGAAGTGCTAATTTTAAGTCATTTCCCCTGTCATATTTTAGTTATTTATAATAATTCATTTTAAAATTGCTGTTTAAGTTGTGTAACTGCATTTAAAGTTGATTGTTACTTATTAAGTATTCATTAAATAAAAACCTGCACATTCACTTGTTTTATAAATTTGAGACTAAGTGAGTTTTGGTTAACTAAATGACAGTCCAATGTTTAGATTACACACTTTTTTCAGCTAAAGAAGTGTTATGCATCTCAATCTTTCATAGTCTCATTTTGTATTGTTACATATTATTATAAGAATGCCCTTTAAAAGCTATTTTATAATAAGCAGTGGAAACTGCAATAAAGGTAGCTGTTAAGCAGCTTAAATGATGGGAAATTTATTATTTAAAGATGGAGAATATATGAAATTGACGAATACTTAATTATATATTAAGTTTCCTTTATTTTGGAGAAAGTTGTAGTATTATTTTATCAAGTTTAATGAACTTATATTATCATGAGAAGGGGGAATATATCAATAGTTATGCTTAAAGGAAAAATATATTCTTCAGATATGCAAGTATCATTGAAGAATATTATGATTATTATATATATTATGATATTTGAATTTTTGAATCTTCCAACCTTTTTCTATTTTTCAAATCCCAAATACAAATTGGTAATTAAAAAAAAAAAAAAATTGAAACTTTGGTTAAATAGGTTAAGTCAGAAGATTATATAATACTTCATAGAAGCATTCATTAAAAAAGGTGAACAATTATTGCAATTACAGTGGCCTTGGATGAACAGCTTAACCTCATGGTTGCACATTGTACAAGTGTTCAAAGTTGACTGGGATTTTCATACGTAAATGATCGATGAATAGCTGGATCATAAAGAAATATGCGGGTGACATAATGTATTCCTTCTCGAGTAACTAGTGCCCAGCGTGACGTATTTGGCACCATTGCAGTGAATGCAGTGCAAGCATGGCGGCAAGCAGTGTGTCTGTGGATCAGTGGTGTGTAATCACATTTCTTGTGAAGTTAAACAAGCTGAGATTTTCAGAAGATTGCAAGTACAGTATGGTGAATAAACGATGTCATGGACAAGAGTGTACAAATGATGTGAACAGTTTCGCGAAGGATGGGAGTTGGTGACAAATGAAGTGCATAGATATATTCGCCTGACTGTAGTCACACCAGTGAATATCGGACAGTGCGGTAACAGTGCGGGATATTGCTGCCGAAGGTAAATATCAGTGTTGAGACAATCATTCGCGACCACTTACACTTCCGCAAAATCTGTGCAAAGTGGGTTCCCCACCAGCTGATATTTGATCAGAAGTGGTCATGCATGACGGTCTGTGAACAGCTTTTGAATCGGTTTCGAGCTGAAGATGATGAATTGTTGCAATCCATCATCAAGTGTGATGAAACATGGTTGCACAATTCCAACCCCAGAGACAAAAAGCAGCAGCCTGGAGTGGCGGCATATAGGCTCATTGCCACTGAAGAAAAGCAAAATGCAGCCGGCCACTGGAAAGATCATGGCAAGTGTCTTCTGGGACATGAAGGGCGTTATCCATGTAGATTTTCTGGACAAAAGGGAGCACAGTATTACTCCACGTTGTTGAGTAAGGCTGTACGAAAGTCCATTCGCAGGAAAAGACCTGGGATTTTGTCTGGATATGTCATTCTTCTCCATGACAGTGCTTGCCCTCAGACAGCCAATGTGACAACATTTTTGGCCGAAATGTACTGGGAAGTTCTGCTCCATCCCCCTACAGTCCAGATTTAGCCCCTAGTGATTATCATTTGTTTGCACCCCTTAAAGACTCATCTGGGAGGGAAGAAATTCATGACAGATGAAGCACTGCGGAGCGATGTCTTCCAGTGGCTACGACAACAACCAAGTTTTTTCTACGCCAAAGAAGTCAGGGAGCTGTTACAACGATGGCAAAAGTATCCCGATCTACGATACGCACGGAGAATACTTTGAAAAGCTAATATAGTTTGGTTCTTCTTGTGTGACATAGTTTGGTGCTTCATGTGTTTCTTGTCTCTCTGAAGAAATAAAAATCCGGGTCAACCTTGAACAACCCTTGTACCACATTCTTAATTTTCTATAGAACATTTAGCATTCCATATTAAATGTACAATACTCCATAGAAGCATTCATTAAAAAAAGGAGAATAATTATTGCAATTACAGTGGCCTTGGATGAATAGCTTAACCTCATGGTTCTTAATTGTACCGCACCCTTAATTTTCCTTAGCATTTCATGTTAAATATTTAACTATGTAAATTTTGGAAATTAGCTTTTAACCTCATTTATATTTCTATTAATTTTAAGATTTTAGAAAATGTAAAAAAAATCAAACATTTATTGAAATACTTGTCAAATAAACAAAATGAATCTCGCAATTCAGGAATTTTAATTTAATAAATGTAAGTGTATTTGCCAAAATTGTGCTTTAAAATTTCATTTTATTAAATGCAAATTTCAAATTTTGCTGTTATTAAAAATTAGAATACATGTACGCGGCACGCAATGAATTGGAAGTTGATCTGTCAGCACTATACTTATCTTCAGGGCAGATGTTTTTATTTTATTTGGCTTATAATTCCTTACTAAATGTAGTATTTCATCTCGATGTACTTCGTCTTTGATATGATTTAAATCAAATTCCTCATCATTATAATTCGCTTCCAATAGTGAAGAAAGTGACACAGAGGTTAATGAAGAGGAAAATTTCGATTGACAAATTAGTCGATATTCTTGACACAGCAATTATAGGACTTGAACAGCGGAACTGTGTAACTGAAGAAGAAATTATGTCTGTTTATAGAATTAAAGAGAAAGTATTATCATATAAAACGAAGCAACTTAAACAACTTACATTGAAAGAAATGTTTAATAAAGTAAACAAATAAATATTAAGCTTTTTTTTTTTTTTTTTTTTTTTTTTTTTGTAAATTTTGATACCCTTTAGATCATAATTGTTCTTTATTTCATAAATTACGGTTTCATATTTTTAATTTTATAATTTCTGCATGCCGTCTCACCAGATTTAATCTGATGATCTATAATCCGGAATCGCCGAAGTCCCGACGAGTCCGGATTAAAGACTTTTGACTGTATTTGTATTTACAGATTATGTATACTCAAAATTGCATTTATTTTACATAAATAAATTTTTAGAAAAAATTAAAGACATGCTGAGATTCACCTTAGATGCTTCTGAATATCAGAATTGATTATAGTATTTTTAATATTCTAAATTTCTGAATTGGGTATGATATTTTACTTGAAAATTTGGCGAGTTAATTATTTGTTAAATATTTATTATTTTATATGAGAATAACTATCCTTTGCTAAAGAAGTGGGCAACTTGAATTTTTATAATAGAATGATATTTTGAAACCTAAGTTCTTGTTAAAGCAATAGCAGATATCCTACTCATTAATCTTACAGAAGTTATAAATGCTGTTGTGACTTCTCTGATAGTAATATCAGCTCAAGTCAATGAATTCATGGTGGCCAGGATCTTCAGGACATAAATTGTTACCCACTTTCCTTATTTTCATACTGTAGCCAGAAACATCTGCTAGCATTTATCCAAAACTGAACTAATTATAAATTATGCTGTCTTCATTTAGATGCTATAACTTATTGCTGTTACAGGATATAAACCTTGATCTAAATACCAAATTGCTTAAAAATACTACAAAAGATATCCTGACTTCCAAATTTCTCTGTTTCATTTACTAGTTAACGTCTTCCTCTTCCTCAGAAAACTGCTATCAGGAATTAGTTATCATGCATATTCTTTATAATGCTGCAGTAGCTGTGTGGTTAAAATCAGTAATAGTTTATAAGTTCTTTTTCTGGCACCTGAATGATCTGCTCACATTATATTTTTGTGCTTGACCTTGGTATATTACAAATATCCCCCCCCCCAGCCTGAAAGGCATCTCTCCAATTAGCAGGTGCTCTTGAATCATTTGTTGTAATTAACCAAATCATAAATTTCATCTGAAGACCAAATGAAAATTCTTAAATATAATTCTTGGGAAGTTCTGAACATGCCTTTACAGATGTTTGACCCACTTGTATACTGCTCGCGCACCCCCCAAAAATGGCAAATATATTATAGGAAATATGGAGAAGGGGGCAAATGTGTCACTTCAGTATTTACAAGATAATATATGTAATATATAGAGGGAAAATATCTGTGATTTTAATCTAATCTGTGCTTTTAAAACTAATAAATATCATCAAATGATAATGAATAAAAATATGTATATATACTGATGGCACTAAAAAATTTAAAATGAAGCACTGCATCTGAAGGTCCTGTAATTTTTAATTTCTTATTGAATTTCTTCCAATTTGCTTTCTAAGAAATCAGATTGTTATTAATAACTGTATATGCTAGTTTGTATATCCTTTCGAAATTTTATGTGCTGTAAAATCTCATGTAATAAGCAATATCAAAATAATACTTCTGAAGGTTTAGATTTAAATCTGAAATTTAGGTCTGTGAGATAAAAATGGGCAAAGTAACATGAAAATTCAAATGTGCAAAAACATTTTATGAGGCCCAGTATAACAAGTCTTTTTCAATTAATGAATGAAGGTATTAATTATAAATTGTTGATCTTTTTTTTTATGCTTTGGTGGGTCAACATGGTAGTGTCTATGATTTTCAGAAACAGTTCACCTTGCGCAAGATGCCAGATATACTTCTCTTGCTTGGAAAGATGTAAAGAATATTGTGATAAATTATTGCATATGTTCATGTTTGTAGATGACGAGTCAAGTTAGAAAGATTCTCTTGGTTTTAAAATGTGCTCAACACTCGT